GATGGAGGGGTGGCCTGGCAGGACCCAGGATCCCACGTTCTTTCCCTGAACAGGAAATGTCCATGGCGTTCAGTCACTGTTTTTCACTACATCCCCAAACACGGGTCTTACTTGCATGAACTGTGAGCCGCTGTTCACATCGGGTTTGACTTTATTTACACAGAGCTTAGCGTACTTGGTCACTGCCTGCCTAGGGAACGTCTAGACCTGAAAATATAACCATGTGGCCTTCACGGAATGATGGCCAGAACCACCCTGGGCACTCCCCATTACTTACCTGTCTTTCCTCTATAACACCCCCCCACACACACACACACACACACCAAGCACAACTAAGTATGCATTCGCTCACACTCAGGTCGAGAATTACCTTCCCAAGGCTCGCTGGCCACAGGGCGGGGGTGACTGCCAAGGCTCACTGGTCACGGGGGTGTGTGTGTGTGTGTGTGTGTGACTTCCAAGGCTCACTGGTAACGAACGGGGGGTGTGTGTGTGTGTGACCTCCGAGGCTCACTGGTCACGGCTATTTGCGTGTGTGTGACCTCCGAGGCTCACTGGTCACGAGTATGTGTGTAAGTGTGACTTCCGAGGCTCACTGGTCACAGAGGGTGTGTGTGTGTGACCTCCGAGGCTCACTGGTCACGGGGGAGGGTGACTTCCAAGGCTCCTTGGTCACCAGGAGGGGGTAGTGACCTCCAAGGCTCGCTGTCACTGGGGGATGACCCCCAGCTTCCTTTAGGACTTCATGTCCTACAATTCAGCAATCAGCCCCGCCAAAGCCTGCCTCCTCCTGATGTTCTGGCCCACTCTGCATCCGCTTGGAGTCTTTGGAGAACACAAGTCGGTTACCCTGAAAACCATCATTCGGTATGTTCACGCGATTTGTTGAAAGATCATAGGCAGCTATCAAAGGTTTGTGCCTAAACTGTACTTAGATGGACTACGGGAACTCAGCCATCCATGAGGAGCCTCGGCACCTGCTGTTCCAGAGGTGCAGGAAGACCAGGAGTCTTCTCAGTCCTGCTGAGTAACCACCAGGTGGGAAGCTCTGCCAGGATGGGAGCCTGCTAACGGACAGGGCATGCTCCGGGACTCACCGGTGGCTCCCAGGCTGTGGGAGGGGGATTCATTCCCTGCACAGCTGCAAAGTGGGGCTCACAAATCCTCCCCAAATAAGCACAGGGCGTCCCTGCACTCCAGGAAGCAGTGTCCCTTTCATGCAATCCTCCTCTCTCCTCCTCCCTCCCCAGTCTCAGGTTCTGTAGAAACAATGGTATCGAGTAATAATTAGGACAGCATGTTTGGGTTTGCAGCCTACAGACGCGTAGTATGACCATGATGGCAAGAACAAGAGGGGCGAGAAATGCTGCCCTCCCTTACCGGAAACCAGCATGAAGCACGCAGACACTGACAAATCGAGGGGCAGTTAAGCCCTGCAGCAACTGCTAAGAAATAACAAGACAGTGAGAAATAATTTAAGGAATTCAGTTGTCAAACCAGAAACTATTCACTTAATGGGAAAAAAAACACAAACACTGAATTATGTTGATTTGTCCAATCCAGGAACATGGGATGTCTTTCCACTCTTCGTATCTCGCTCAATCTCTTTTCAACTTTCCAGTTTTCCATGTGGAGACCTTTCACCACTTTGGTTAGGTTTATACCTAAGTGCTTTATTTTTGTGTGGCTATTGCAAATGGGATTTCTCTAATTCCACCTCCATCTGTTCATTTTGAGTGTATAAAAACCCTACAGATTTTTGTATATTGATTTTGCATTCTGCTACTTCACTGAATTCGTTTATCACTTACAGGAGCGTTTTTGTGGATTCCTTTGGGCTTCCTATGTGTATGATCAAGTCACCTGTCAACAGGAACAATTTTTTCCTCTTCGAAGGCCTTTTACTTCCTCTTGTCTGACTACACCGGCCAGGATTTCCGGCCCTGTGCTGGAGGCTTCATAGGATGAATTGGGAGGGTTCTTTCCGTTTGGCTCTTTGTAAATAGTTCGAGGAGGGTTGCCATTAATTCTCTTAAGCGTTGTAGAACCGAGTGAAGTCCTCAGGACCTGGGCTTTGCTCGCGGGAGGGCTGTTACTGTTCGGTCTCATTATGTGCCACTGGTCTGCTCAGGCCTCCTCGTCCTTTCTGAGGCAGTCCTGGACGCTGTGTGTGTCCAAGAATGTGTGATTTCAGCTAGGCTCCCTAGTTCGCAGGCATAAAGCTGCAGGCAGAACTTTAAATGACCTTTTGAATTTGTGACATTTGTGGTGACACAGCCTGACGTTATGGATTTATCTAGTTCTTTCCTCTGTATTCCTTTGTTACGGGTTTGTCAATTTTACCTACTTAAAAGAACCAGTTTTTTGTTTGGTTAAAAAAAAAAAAGCAGTAATGAGAAACAGAAAAGATGAGACACATTTAAAACTGAAACTTGAAATTGCAGACATAAGTCTAACCCAGCGGCGAGGCATTCACCTAGTCACAAGGAATCCACCCCATCCCAAACGCCATCCGCTAGGTGCCACCTGGTAAAGGTTCCAGCACCTCTCAATGCCATTACCTTGGGGACTGGGCTTCCAGCACAAGAACCTCTGGGAAACAAACCAGATCCAAACCATGTGCCGGGCACTGGGCTATTATTTGGCAATAACAAAAAATGGAGTTCTGATCGTTGCTACAAAATGACGAGTCCCAAACACACAAGTGAAAGGTGCCGGAGGCCCAGATCACGTGCTTCGGAATGTTTAGGAGCAAGTCTGCAGAGAGATCTTTTTGAGGTGATGCAAATGTTTCAAAACTGACTGTGACCACAGCATAACTCTGAATATACTAGAAACTGCTGTCACACCGTTTCAATGGCAAATGGTGTGTGACGCAAATTCCCAATAAAGCCGCTAAAAGGCGACAGCAGTGGCACTGTGGCCAGGCATTTTCCAGGAACTGGGAAACACATCTCAGCTACTCCAGACCCCAGCTTCCTGGCGTTTTCTTTGTCCAGCGCTGCTCAGTGACTGGGCGTGGACTGTGGGCTGCAGAGAGCACATCTGCACTCCTACACAGTGCAGGCCTTTGGAACAGGCTGTGCTAGGGCCCGGGACAGAGGACAGGCCTTGGAAGTTACTGAGAAGATGGTGCGAGGCTCACTCCTGGGGGCCTGTGCTCACATTTCAAGGGCTTTGAGATCCCAGTCCCGCTTTCAGGGCCTCTTCTCCTGAAGCTGGATTATGTTCTGAGAATAAGATTCCCGGGGGTTGTCAGGAGATTCAGCTTCCTGCTCTCAGATGGGGGTGGGAGGGCGATGTGTCTGTGAGTCCCTGGGCCCGAGTGGGTCAGGTGGCATCTCCCTGATCTGCACCCACGCTGCAGAAGGGGAGGCGCTGGAGTGAAGGGAACCACAGTGGTTATCCCTCCAAGCCCTAATCTTCCCTGATGGGCTCTAGCCTCGGTGGGGGTGGGTTGACTGGATGGAGGCGGCGCAGGTGAAGGAGAAGACTAAGGCCTCAGTGCCTTTTTCATGCACGTCCTTTGCCAGACACCCCTTAGAGATCGATCTCTGAAGAGTGACAACTGCCAGGAATTACTGTGCCTTTTTATTGAAAATGTGTTACATACAAGTAAATGGAAGAGGGACTACGTGTTTCAATTATCAGCTCATGAAGTTTTAACAATAGAGAACATAGATTCTATTCAGGGTTGGATTAAGGGTGGGTCTAGTGCAATTCAGGGTTGGATTAAGGGTGGGTCTAGTGCAGTTCCGCAATTGTAGGTGGGTCTCCATGGAATGCAGTTTCGGGAAAGCGGTTCCGGTAAGCAGAGGTGATTATCAGCTGATGCGGTGCAGCAGCCATCTTGTGATTACTGGGAATGGTGCTGAGAAAAGAAAATCTCAAGTACAGATATTAGTTCTTATGGATCTTAATAAAGAATGATATTTATACAGTTTTATAGGGATTTAAAACTTAATTTGAGGAATCCTAATATATTTGTCTATTTTACTTGGTGAGGGCGGGGGTGTCCTGGGCCAGTTTTGGCCTTATGTAAAGAAAAGGTTATTTTTAAGCTTATGTTAAATGTATTTTGAAGAGCCTTCCAAAGGTCAAGAAGATTTCTGCCTAGATTTGACTTTATCACATTCTCTATTGTAACCGTTTGGAGTAAAGCATTGTAATTAACAATAGGTGGTCAAAGCAAAGGGGAGCGGTCAGGGAACTTCCTGGAAAATTTTATCATATACTCAGGATATATAAGAGAGCTATGTAATTCTTTTATCGTAGTATATTGGGGAGTCTGACGGGGGTCGCTTCCCAGCAAGGCTACCACAGTTTTCTGGAGCAAATAGCAAACAGCCTTGCTGACATGCTAAATCGACCTAAGTCTTATTCCTAGGTCGGGGTGTACACAGCAGCAGCCTTGCCAACATGCTGTCCGACCTAAGAGGTAGAGGTCAAAAGGCTCAAGACAGATCCTGGGCCTTACTGGGTCGGACTCCTCCACTTCCCCAAGCCAGCAGTCCATGTCTGCTAGTCGGACAGCATGGACAGACAGACGCAGGGACCGGGACTCGCCATGGTCTCACTGTGTGGTGGGAACCTGAAGTGACCACCAGCTTGCTAGGTGTGTTCAACAGAGTGTTCTTAGTCACCCCCTGGAGACAGAGCTGGAAGAACAGAGACTAGCCAGGGTCCCCACACTATGCTGGCTGCAACTCTGGGGAGAGGTCTCTGGAAGCGCTGATCGAGGAACGAAGGTCATTCAATCAGAAAGCGGGGGGTTCTTTCCAACAAATGGGGCTAGAAAAACGGGACATCCATATGTACGAAGGTACCGAGTCAGACACGGACCTTACGTCTTTCACAACAATTAACTCAAAATACATTATTTTTACATAAATGTAAGACACAGAAATATAAATTTCTAGAAAAACAAGAAGAAAGTCCAGGTGACCTTTGGGGTTGGCAGTAAGTATTTAGATACAACATAAGCACAGCTCACTGAGGAAAAAATTTATAAATTGGTCTTTATTAAAATGAGAAACATCTCTGAAAGCTGATGACGGCATGAACAAACAGGCCATGACAGGGGGAAGACGCTGATGGACTCGGAGCTGAGAAGGACCAGTGGGAGCGTGTGGATTTGGTCCCCAGGGCTGAGGGTCCGAGGCGACGCTCGGTACGCTGGCAAACTGCCGGTTCTCAGCAGGCTGTCCGGGCCCTCCCTCCCCGAACACAGACAGCAGTGCTGCACCCTGGCAGGCCACCAGTGTGTCCGAGCGAGGTGATGCATGACTGAGTAGGCGCATGAGGTCCGGGCTCCCTCTGGCCACCTCGCTTCAGAGGCACTGCCCTGGGACAGGTCTGGGCAGTGTGGAACAGCCTGCAGGTGCGATGTCACCTGGGAGGCCGCTGCCCAGCTTTGCAGAGGACCCCGCTGGGACCAGAAAAAGCCCAGTGCGACCACGGGGCCTCTGGCGGGGCAGCGCCCTCACTGATGCATCGCCCACCCAGCTCTGAGGATTAAGAACCGCGCCAGGCGCCCACACCGTCCAAGCACACAGCAAGCCCTCAGTAGTGAGTGGTGCCTTCCAGCGCAGCCCCTGCTCAGCAGCCGCCATGACGTGATGTCCGAGGAGAACGATCAGCATGAATGAGTTCCCCTTAGAAGGAGGGTCTGATGGTGGGCCAGGATGTCATAACCTGAGACTCGGAGTTGGCAGACAAAACGTGCCCAACCTCTGCATCGTGGAGGCCATGCAGCCGCCGCTTCAGTCTTCAGGCTGCATGAAGGCGCAGTTTCCCGCCCACAGGTACCTGACCCACACGGTGCCCAGTGTCTCCGGGAACCCCTCTACCTGGCCCGAGGTCATGCTCGCCATGAGCCGAGGCCAATCTGAGGCGAGCAGGCCTCCACCCAAAGGTCTAGACAGTGAGCAACCTGCAGGATGCACGAGAAGTTCAGCAACCCAGTTCCAGGCCAGAGGCGGACGGGGTGGACATGGCCAGCCAGCTCGGTGAGCAGCTGGGTTGAATAAACTCGTAGCCAGAAATAGCACAATAATCACAGATGGTAAGGAGGGGGCGGGGAAAGGCGTGGTAGCCACTAGCCTTTAGCTCCATCCAGTGCGCCTGGGGCGAGTTCTCGACGCGGCCTCAACGGGAGCCACTGCCCACTCCTGAAGCCACAGGCAAGCCCTCAGTCTGCCAATCAGAGGTCGTGGCTCGCCCTTCAGAGGCGTGATGGCAGGGCAGCGTGGCAGCTGGCAGGGGCTGGCTCCTAGACACCAGCTCAGGGGGCTCAGGGGTAGGCCAGGCTCCGGGGGAGGAGGGGGTCCTACCAGGGAAACGTGCTGGGTTCCCGCCTGGACTTTATGCCTGGTAGGCAGATTCTGTTGTCTGCACCCAGGACCCCGACAGTCAGACGCAGCACTGCAACCAAGCGACGGCCTGCCTCAGGCTGCTGACCGCATCTGGGACACGCATGTCCCTGGAGGGTGAAGAATGTCAGAGAAGGACACCTCAGGTAACCCACGAGGTAGTCCAAGGCACTAGTCTTGGGACAACTCAGCTTACCACATATTCACTGAGCGAAGGTTTGAGAGCCAGGAAGAGTGAGGAGGACAGCACCTGTAGACCCCATCCTGAGTCCTCAGGATCTGAGTGTCAGGTAAGAAGGTTCCACTATTTCTTGGGACCAGCAGGTGGCGTGGTGGTTAAAGTGCTGGATACTTGCACATGGCCAACTGGTTTGAGTTCCGGACCTGGTGGCTTGCTTTCTCACTTTCTTTCCGTCTGTCTCTCTCTGGTCAAATTAAAATAAAATGAATAAATAAAATTAAATAAATAATTCTTAAAAAAAAAAAAAAAAGCAGCTCCCAGGATTTTTAAAATGTGCTGCTCATATTCGAACTAGTAGGTATCTTCAGTAACGGATGCCACCTGGGAAGAGCTGTGCTGTCCTCCCGTCTCCACTTTGCCCTTCCGTAAACCCAGCCCACTGACTACAGCAGAGCTTTGTTTCCTAGAAGCCTGTAAGACCCGTGACAGCCTTCTTTCAGAAAATGAATATGCAAGTATGCAAAATTAACTGTAAATGTTAAGTACTCTGAATAAGAAACAAAATCCTAGCTTTAAATTTAAAAAGTTTAACTCTGACAAATATCATCAATAACACAAAATTTAGGAAAATAAAAAATATTAACCGACACATTTAAATTTTTCCCACATTGATTTAGCAGCATATGTTTTGATATCACCTCTTCACAGACAATGATTTTTCTATAATTTAATTTTACTCTGGAATATTCAAATGGTCTTTTTAATTATTGAGAGAGTTTACGAGTTCCATCAATCTTTACAATTCATTTTTGGAAATATCATATAAGTGTTAGAACTGTCAGCTTCCGAAAACTTTTTCAGGTTCTTTTATCATGTGAATAGAGGATTCGGGTAACCTCTATTTTCTTTTGGCGATTACTAACATTTTATAGTATATGTCTGTTCTTCTAAAGATCTTCGTTGGCCAGTTTTGCCTAAGGTCATCACGATGGCATGGTATAGTTTTATGTTATGTCCATTGATGTTTTGTGTCAAGTCAGCAATAAATTTAAACATTCTTATGATGCGTCTACCTGCTGTACTCCTCTCTGTCACTGGACTATCAATAATAAAGAGTCTATTTCTATTCAAAATTTAACTCAGGAACTACTAGTTGGGGTATAACCCAAAGGATTTCTTTTTTATAATTAGTTTCAAAGTCAGGATCAATTCTAGCGTCTTACTCTGTCTTCCTCATGGACACATCTAAGACCGTGTAAGTGAGGCTATGTCTTACCCCGGGCAGCACATCCGTAGTGGACTGAGAATGGTTATTTTTCTAAGCCTATAGTTCTCCTGTGAACGAAATTACAACGTTTTTCTTTTCCCTTTTGGTGTTCAAATCCTATTCAATGTAAACTTTTATTGCAAACCATGATGTCTGGAACTGTTCTGGCATTTCCATATAGTTAAGATACACTGGCTCCTCTACCTGTGGGCTGAGTAGAGACCACAAATCCAGGTCCCTGTCTCTGTGCCTCATCTACTGACCATGGCACACCAACAGGGGCATGAGAAAAAGCCACTCGGTCATAAACATTCATTACACTTGAGGTAACTCAGGGGGTGACGGTTTTAAGGGGGACGTGACATATTCATGCGAAGTATTTGCTGCATACTTAGTTTTTGCAAAACCAGTGTCAAAAGCTCTGTCAACTATAAAGGAAGTCTTTAAGCCAACCTTCAGAGATGAGGAAACCGGCACCGGGTTAAGCAACTTGTCCACCGTCATCTACCACAGTATTACACCCAGACTCCAACCTCTGAGGAAAACTGAAAAATTTATACTCCATGCTAAAAAGATAAAGAGAAAATCCTAAAAATGTCTAGAGATAAGGGAGACGTTACCTACAAAGGATACCCCATCAGACTAACCTCAGACATCTCAGCAGAAACCTTACAGGCCAGGAGGGAGGGAGACAACATATTCCAAATTCTAAAAGAAAAACAGTTTAACCAAGAATATATACCCCACAAAACTTTCCTTCAAATATGAAGCAAAAATAATTTCCAGGCAAGCCAAGACTGAAGAATTCACCAGAGACAGATTGGCTCCTTAAGAAGCTCGAGAGGGGCTAGCGGGTGGCGTGGTGGTTGCACTGCTGGACTCCCGCCTGGCAACTTAGAGCTCACGCCAGCTGCACGTGCATGCGGGCCCAAACCCTGAGAGGAGAAGGGACTGTGGTGTGGCCAATCCTCTTGGGGGCTGATTTCTCACTTTCTGTCTCTGTTTCTGTCTCTCCAGCGAGTGCACACACCCTATAGTAAAGATTTCTCTCTGTTAAAAAAAAAAAAGAAACAAAACATGTGAGGGTGTGCTACATCTGGAAAAGAAAGGAAGATAATTATCTCCATGGAAACACGTGAATCTATAAAACTCACCAGCAGAACAACCACATGAACAAAGAAATGATTCACCCTTCCACTATGGAAATCTACCAAATAGCAAAGACAAGCAATAACAGGAGAAATAAGAAAACACACATAACTAACCAACAAAATGGAAGCTATAAATTTGTACATAATAATATCATTGACTATAAATGAACTAAACTCCCCCCCCATCTAAAAATACATATTGGCTAAATGGGGGAAAAAAAAAAAGCCCTCTTTAAGCTCGTAAGAAACACACCTCACTGGAATAAAAACACACAGATAGAATGGAATGTCAATTAATGCAAGTAAAAAAAAATTAAAAATTAAAAGCAGGTGTAGTCATCCTAATATCAGACAAAAGTGATTTAAAAATAAAAATCTATAAAAAAGAGACAAAACGCTCATTACATTTTTTTATAAATATTTCTGCACACTTTAGTGTGCCCAAATATATAAACCAGACTGTAAATCTGAAGGGGACACAGACTCAAATACATTTACTGCTGGAGATCCCGACACTCCATTCTCACAACTGGACAGCTCATCTAAACAAAGACAAACAGACACTGCAGCTAGGTGATAGCGAAAACCGAACGGACCTGAACGTTCACAGACCACGTCACCCAGCAAATAGAACACACACAGTTTTCAGCAGCACACGGGGCATTTTCTAACAGGGCACAACGTAAGCCTCTACAAATCTAGGATAGAAGCATCTTTAGCATCTTCTCTGACTATAATGGAGTTAAACTTGAAATCAACAAAAGAAAACTTCTGAAAATACAAAAAACACATGGGAACTAAACGACATGCTCCTGAATGATTTTGAATCTACTGAACAAATTAAAAATGAAATTTTAAAATTTCTTAAAACAAATTATAATAAAAACACTATACTCCAGAACCTCTAGAATACAGCAAACATGGTAGTAAGAGAAAGGTTTACAGCAACTTATTCTCATAAGAAAAAAAGGATTATAAATAAACAATCTAATGTTGTATCTCAAGGAACTGGAAAAACAAGAACAAGCTAAAGTCAAAAGTAATAGAAGAATAGAAACAATAGAGATGAGAGCGGAAATAAATGAAACAGATAACTAAAATGCAATACAAAAAAAAAATCAACAAACTAAAAAGCTGGTTCTTCAAGAGGATAAACAAAATTGATAATTATGGGACCAGCAGTTAGCGTAATGGCTATGTCGCTGGACTCCCATGTAGTTGACCACAGTTCAAGTCCCGGACCCAGTGGCTTAACCTCACGCCAGGCGCGTGTGCATGCATGCCCAAGATCCCGAGAGGAGAATGGAGGAGGAGGGACTGCCGCATGGCCATCCCCTGGGGGGGTGATTTCTTGCTTTCTATCTCTCTGTCTCTCTCTCTGTCTGTATGATGAGCGCACTGCGGCACTAGTCACGACAGCTGATTCATGGGCTCGACCTGCGTGCCCGACACCTGATGACTGAATTGGGAAAACGGCACATAGACACAACCGAGCAGTATCAGCCCTAAAGAATGGCAGTATCCTGCCACGTGACACAAGGGGATGAACCTGGAAGACACCAGCCAGACTATGAAGGACAAATGCTAAAGGATACCAAATGTCCACACTGCGTGGCAGAAACTGGAGGCCAGGAAAGCAGAGAAGTAGATTCCAGAAGCTGTTTAGGAAGGTGAGTGGGAGGAGGTGGATGGGAGGGTCACGAGAATTTTTTTTTTAGGTTTTTGCCCTAGGGCGTGTGTACTTATCAGAAAGAGACAGAGAGAGGGAAAGTGAGAAATCAAACCCCGAAGTGGGGGTGGCCATGTCCAAATCCCGTTCCTATTCTCTTCTGGGGTTTTGGGCACACATGCGCTCTGTCTGTCTGGCGAGCGCACACGCCCTATAGTGAAAAACCTCTCAAAAAAAAAAAAAAAAAAAAAAAGTACAATGGTCAATGGAAGTCGGGGGATGGAGGAACAAGTTCCCATGAAAGCCCATAGCAGCCTCTGCAGAGCCCACAGGCACAGAAGCCAGAACGGCCCTTCGGACAGGCACGGAGATGGCAAGCCCTCACCTGGACGGAGGACACCCTAGCAGGGGCACGCCTCACATGACATGGCTCTCCACCACCAAGGCACTCCTAGAGGAACCAGAGGAGCCAACAGAGCATGTCCTTGAAGGCCACGGTGCTGCCTCGAGGGCAGGGCCCCTGCAGCTGCAGGGCCAGTGGACAGCAAGCAGCCATCCGGTGTGGAACGAGCATGTTCATGACACAAGCAGGTCCACACGGAGGGGTGCTGGAGCAGCGCCATCCTGAGGCTGCAGTTCAGCTGCAGAAACACTTTCTGTGAGAGGCTTACTACAAAGAACTTTGGCTTCCAGGAATGCGCGGTCCTTCTCCGTTTCTTCTCTCTCTTCCGGCCCCTTTCCCATTTAAGTATTTTCTTAGAACTGTGTATCACATAAATCGTAGGAGAATATCATTCACCCCCACTTCCCTGCCTGAGTATTCCATGTTACTCTGGCTTGCAGACAACCTACTGCGAGACTTCTCTGCCTTGTTATCTCGTATGAGGTAACTCCCACAATTAACCCCCTTCCGTCACATACATATTTATTCTATTGATTTGGTATCTCGGGAGAACTCTGACCAATACATATTTAGGAGCCAGGAGTGGTTTTAGAGGAAAGGAATTTTAAGGGTCAATCTCTCACTGAGCTCCCTAAACCGCCGAGACCTCCACCTGTAATAGTGCAGAGAGCACTGACAGTCGGTGCGAGCTGTTTTCAGAGCTATACACAATACAGCCATGATGGACCGCGTTCACTGCTCGGAAGCAGCAAGGAGCTGAGCGACTCTATGTAGTACCTTCGGACATTTGTGGAAAAGCAAGGACTGAGACAAAGGGAGAGGGAGGAAGCACTTGCCAATGGACACGGTTGTGCTGCAACCCCTTCTGCATTCCTCCACCCTGCTGGATCTGGGACACGCAGGAACAGGGCGTTTTTCAAGCTGCCGGGTCTAGGATTCGAATCACATGGTCAGCAACGTAGGATCCAGCTGTCTTAACCACGAGGCCACAGGGCTGTCCCTTGCCCAACAATTTTTAGTTAAAACATCTGATTATAACTCCCAGTGGCCTCCATTTCTCTAGCACCCCAACTCGCACTGCAGTGAGGATGTGGACTACTGAGCGGCTAGTACGCCAGGCCTGGGCATTTGTAGGCAGAGCTCATGGCTCACGCTCAGAGGCCGCTCTGGAGTATGCGGAGGCCCACTCTCTGGCTCACAGATGGGCCTCTGCTGTCTTTCCACGGTGAATGTGACCACGAGCTCCTTGGGGCCTCCTTCACAAGGGCACTAATGCCGCTTCAAGAGGCTGTGCCCTCAGGACCATCAGCAGCCCTGGCTCCCCCACAGAGCACCAACACATCGAGCACTGTATCTCAGAACGTGACTTTCAGATATTAGCAGGGTTACCTTTTTAAGTTGTTCTGTCTTGTATTCTCCAAGACAAGTTGTATGTGCTCATCTCAGCCTTTGGTGGCGTTGCTCACCTTCTGTAAATGTTAGTGTCCTCGTGACCATGTGGGACCCTGAAAGGACACTCGCACCTGCAGCTGCCCTGCGTCCTGCGAGGGATCTGATATACCCCTCTGGAGGGAGCCGGCAGCAGACTGGACTCCCAGGGCGGGCAGGACAGACGGGGAGCCCCTTTGCCACCTGAGGGCAGATGAGAGTGTTCTACTCAGGCCGATGCTGCCTCTACCTGGGAGCCACCCTCCCGGGCCCGGGCCTGGGCCCAGGCCTGTCCTTCCTGTCCCGTGAGGAGCCTGGTCACCTCAGTGGGCTCTGCTTTTCTCTCATACACCCACAGCCACAGCAGAGCCACACAGAGGGGACCGCCTTCAGAGGCCTTGGGGGTAGGTGAAGCCACCAGTGACCTTCTGCCGATCCACAGCCCACTCCTGCCACCCACACGTGCCGTTATAAAACTGGGCGGTGTCCCTACAGACTGGGGTAAGAGCAGCTGTTCCCCACAACTGTGTGGCGCTGTCCACGGAGGGCAACTGTCCTGCCAGAAACTTAATTCCCAGACCCCTTTGCCAATGCCTACAGAGACTGTCTACAACGGCATACGTATTTACCAAGCATATGCTGGGAGCCAAATGCTGTTCTCGGTACATAGAGGTTAAAAAAAAATCCCTGCTCCAACAGACAGTATAGACAATAAACACAGAAATAACTGGGTGAGACCGGCGGGGTAGGAGGGGGAACGTGAAATGGTGGGGGGGGGGAGGGAGGTAGTTTGGAACTCTCCTTTAGGTCTTGAAGCTGTCCTGAGGAGGAGACTGAAGCAGTCCAGGCCTGCACAGCGCTGGGGGAGGGACTGCAGACAGACAGACAGAGGAGAGCACCTTGAGCACAAGCAGAGGGCAGAGGGCCTGGGTGGTGTAAGCTCACACAGCGACTGGGTGCGACGGGCAGGCAGGGACAGGGCAGGAGGAAGAGAACAGAAACACAGAAAGAGTGAGGGCTTTTATTAAGTTGTAATTATCAGCAATAAAGTAGAGGTAGCATTTTAAAACCCCCCTGTAAAATACAGATGGCCATAAATGGTATTTCAATATGTACTGCTAAACAAAAGCTAACCTCACAAACCCCAGCAATCCAGGTTCGAAGCTCAACAGGTTACTATGGAATCAAGAACTATATCTGGAAACAGAATTTTTACAGTTGAACTGTAAGTTATCCAAAATTATTCAGTTAGATGTCATGTAGACAACAACATTTCATAGTTTGTATTTTTCTCCACACCCTCCCAAATAAGACCAAGAGGTCAGAAAAATGATAAATTTCAGATGCTATTTTTTCCAACGTCTTCCACAACTTAAAAAAGCCACACCCTGCTTTGCTTTCAAATTGTCTTACTAAAATCTAACTAGCTCCTGTCAAGTATCAAAAATAAATCACACATTTGATCTGGATTCCAGAGAGCCAGGTCAGAACTACAGTGCTTTGAGGAAGTGACTGTCTGCAGAGACCACACAGAGAAACTGTCTAACAGGCTCAGAGGCACTGCACTGCCTGCGACAGCACTTCTCCACGGCGCTATAACTCACAGGAGCCACAGCCACACCACACCCCGGAGGGCACGGCCTCCTCTGCCCACCTTCTCCTGATGCTGACAGCCCAGTCTCCCTCGGATTTCCAAAAGCCAGACACTAAAGTTACACGGCCTGAGCCCCGACTTTCACCTCCTCACACTCTACGAGCCCACCAAGCAGTTCTGCGACCCTAAGGCTAACGTGGGACCATGCAACCACGTGAGATCAACAAGCCATGTCTAACTTGCTCCTTTTATTAATAAAGGGATTGTTTACAAAGCCGTAATTTAACAGAAATTAAAAAGTACAGAAGTTTAACGGATTGCAGCTTCACTTACTTCCCTACGAACACACATGCATCACTAGCAGTTTTCCTACTTGCACACTTTTCAGTCCTTCAGTAAGCCACATGCCCATGACCTACACAGCAGCAGCACCCACGGGCAGCAGAAAAGGCTGCTGGGAGGCGGTCCCGGCCGCTCAGAAGGGCCCCAGAGGGTCACACAGTGTGAAGCTGTCAGACCAAGTACGGTCCTCACGGCCATCACGACGACCCCACTCCTATTTGGATTTTAACGGACTCGACCTCCAGATCTGAAATAAACGCACTGCCGACGGCCGCAGGTGCATTTGGCATTTAGTGGGTTTCGGGCACCTGCACAAATCAGAAACAGGAACTATCACGAGGAGACCCTGTAACTACAGCTGCCAGCTGAGTGGTCAGGGGACAGCAACCACGAACGCTGGCTGCTGCTGACAACTCTGCGACGTCAACGTCAGAACCACTCTTGGTTTCTATAAAACAAGCGAAACGAAACAGCACAAGTAAAAGACTTCCATGTAACCTTAATGGTCTAACAAACCTCCCAAATGGAAGGAGACACTAAATAAAGGTGACACATCCGATTAACTGATGCTCCGGCATGACAAATTTACCAGGTCATCTTGCCAACTATGTGCAGTCACCTGATATAAGCGCATACCACAGTGGGGACTCTGACTCCAGAGGGCTTAGGTGGAGGCTTTCCAAGGCCACGGTACCAGCAGCCCCGTGTGCTTGCACTCACATGCACACACACACACGCACACACGCAGCTGTGCAAGCCTGTGGCTTCCCCGGCGCCCCGCACGCCCTGGGCGAT